CTACTCGCTCCAGGGCAGTATCTGATTGGTCCGACGGACATGGCTGTACACGCGTTTGTTTAGCCTAAATAGATTGTACTAAGTAGACTAAAAGACTTCTACTTTTGAGCTCTTCTTGGTGTGTTCTTCCTCTGGTAATCAAACAAGGCGTGATTGAACGGTGATATCTCGGCTTGGGCCGTATTTACAATAGAAGTACTTGCAGCTGTGGACTCCGACAGAGTGTAGTCGAATCACCATCGGCTTATGCGAATTGTGGGGTGATTTTGTGGGAGTAGGCGTGCATGTAGGCATGCGGAAGCAATATTTAAGGTTAAAAATAAGCGCCTTTAAAGTAATATAGTAATAAGGTGTAACTGCACATTCCACTTTTTTAACACATTCGAAGACAACTTCTTACCTCACAGACAGCTTGAAGAAATCTGACGTAGGATCGTTCGGTGGAGACGAGTTCCTCCCAAGCCATCACATAACGACGCTCAGCGGTGGGTGTTGTGGCTGTCGAAAGCGAGGACTGACTAGCTGCCTGTTCTTGAGACTTGTCAGAATTGACGGTGCTGTTCTTTGACTGACACGAAAATACATAGAAAGCACGGGAAAGTGTGAAAAAAACGGCGCGGAACCGATGCTAGTTTCGGTGATGAGAAAACAAATAGGATGAAGAGAATGCAAAACGCGGCTCAACCAGTTAAAAGTCCAGCTTGTGTCAGAAATCCAATCAGAGTATTGAGCAACAACGTTTTAACTCAGCACCGTCGCAGTTACAAAACCAGCGCTAATAGGTTGATTAGAAGAGGACTGCTTAGGTTCCTAAGTGCAAGCTTGACGCCCCTCACTAGGAATGCTTTCTTGCCAAAAATGTCCCGAGTAAACTTGGAGACTTACAAACAAAACGAGCAAAAGCTTCCAGCCAAATTTATTTCAAAGAATAGAATATATGAGGAAACGCATTTGCGTTTCGGGAATAGGGAGTTTGCAGGGAATATTAGAGCTTTACTCTCATGGACTTTCGTGAAGCCCATTCGGAAGGCAATTAACGACACAGTCAGTGTTACTACGGCTGAGTAAAACGCTGCTAGAAGCATGCAACAAAAAGGAGATCACACAGGGGTAGATTACAGAGCTACAAAACGGGAAGGGGGCGACGATGCTCAGCAGTCTGGCTTGGCCTTCATAAAGGTAAAAATTTTGCCTGTGCACCATCGGTCTTTTCAATCCCTATGAGCTTCACATAGGCTTAGTTTGCAGGACTATAGCCAAACGCTTGATCGGTACTGTATGGTAGACAGGCGGGTCAGACCCAAATCAAAGTCATCCAATTTGCAGGTCCTCTTAACAAAAGGGTTAAGGAAAAGAGTAAGTTTGAACACAATATGCAGTGTCAGGAAGCCTGGCTTGAATGGAATGTTAACTTAACACTTTGACTGCGAGAGTTGGTAAGATTACTTGAGTGGAGTTGAAAGACAGCACAGAATCCTCTCAAATTATTTCAGTCACGCCAAGATGCCGACTTGCTAATGCTCCTATTTTCGGCCGCCTACGAAACCTACCTAACTAATACAAGTGTTCTATTGATGTCGATGCCCTTTGAATATATTCAATGGAAAATATTGATCAAGAGTGTCTTTTGTTATACGCACTGGCTAGCAAAGCACCACTTAAAATGGTATACTCAAAGAAAGGATATATTTAGGTTTTTAAATTATAATTCAATTCCAGAATAACTTTGATCAGGAGCTGTGGGTGCATTTACAAGTAAGGTTTAAGATCTACAAATTAAATACTTTCGCTCAAAGGAAAATTATACAGCCCTGCATACCAGCTGGAAAACACTGTGTAGAGCTCATAAATGTTGCAATAGATGGGAATTATATTTCACAGCTCGTAAAAAACATCACTAATTAAGCAAATAAGAAGCTATGGAACGGAAATTTGGACACAGTTTTACAAGCTTTTCATAATTACAATTACATAATTTACGTAATGTAAAACCTAAAAATACCCCTCATGCGAGTATACATTTTTAATAAGGCATTAATCAATACCAAACGCGAACGATGGACAATATTTTTGTGTATGTTTTCTACAAAATGCATTTGAATTGATAAGGCCATAAGAAATGAATATAGGAAATACATCCTACTTAGGTTGTCTTTTTATCGAGTATGACTTCAACAGGCGGCTCTCACGAAGCGCCTTCAATTACCGGTATTCTGAGGTGACTAAAATATCTTGGGAGTATGTCCTTCTACTTTACAAATGTTTAAAGATTTATTTACACGGAAAATCAAATTCAGAGGATAAATTGGCGAACAAACGTTTGTTTTCGATAAGCCCTCGTCAGACCTTCACACACATATGGTAATTAACTAAACAAACTAGGCGGCTTGGTAAAAAAAAATAGTGCGGT